CCAGTCTGGCTTCTGTCTAACCCAAGTGGCCACCACAAACCCCACAGCAGCCATAGGCCCTAACAGCACATGACTCTTGGTACCCACCCCGAAGTTCTGTCCTCTCTCACCACACAAACTACCCCTAATGAAGCTCTGGATGATGGGGTTCCAGACTCCTCGGATTGAGATGAACCTGTAATTCCATCTTCTAACCACCATATCTGCCTCCTAAACCTGGTTCCGTATCTGTGCCTGACCCAGTCAGACTGCCGAGGCCTCTCCACAGGATCCGGTCTTGTTCCTACTGAACCCAGTTCAGTTTCTACCTCACCCACTGAGATACCTGACACCTAGATACAAGACCTGGACACAATTTCAAAACACAGTTTGGATTGAAATTCTCACAGCTCAAAACACATAATCCAAGAGGCTTCAGACCCCAAGAGAGAGAATTTACTATGCCCACCGCATAAGGCAAGGAGACAGTGACCACAGTAGGATGGGAAGTACCTATGCCTGGTGGCCTGATGCCCCCGGGTCTCTGAAGCTCTGCTTCAGATCCTGCCAACTCTGTCAAAAACATTAAAAGGAAAATTTCTTATACCTTTTAAATTCAGTAGAATTCATTTGAGCAAAACAAAATAGAACTAGGCAGCTTCCAGAAGAACAAGCTCTAAGAACCCCCACCAATAACATGCGCAGACAGCACTTACAGGAAAACAAAATCAAGGCATAGAAAACCAATCAGCTACAGCCTAGTCAATCAACTAGTCATTGGTTACAGCTTAACTCATAAGCGCTTTACAGTGTAATCAGTGCATTAGTCAGCTTTCCGGTTGATAGACCTAATACTTGACACCCCCAGTTTAAAAGAAGTTTAATTTGACTCACGATTTATGGGGATTCAGTCTGTGGTCAGCTGGCTTCAAAGCAGAAATGCATGGTGGCCAGGAAGCAGAGAAAGGGAAAAGCACCAGGGAGGAAGGAGCCAAGGCCAGATATAGACCCTGAGGCCACGCCTCCTGATCCACCCAGACAGCTCCACCACTCCCGGATAGATCTCAAAGCCAATCAAGTTGACCCTCCACCCTAACTGTCACAGTCAATTAAGTGGTTACGGGGCCTCTCTGCACCCAGCCGAAGCTCAGTTACTCTGATTAAACTCCAAATTGCTTTGGTCAATTGGGCCAGTGTAGGTACTCAGCCCAAATCCATGGTCTCCTACAAAATTTTATTTAACAATCCCAACACTTGTATACAGGCAAGCCCTTCAAAAAGGGAATCTGTTCCCAGATCACAGTTCCCTACACAGTCTGTAACAAGCCAGTCCATTATGCTCAGATGTGGTAAGAAGAAAGACCTGTTGCATATAGTTACAAGTTATCACCCCAAAGAACTTTACAAAAAGTCTATTAATATGGTGAAGCTGAAAGCCTCTTAAAAATATTCATCCTCTATTTCACGAAGCACTGACAAAAATGGCTGGCAGCAGCTGGGATGTGAAGAATGAAGATGTTTGCAAGGCCTGCAGCAAGCATGTTGCAGCTACACAGTCTTCATATGTCATGCTGGCAGCTCACGCATCAAGCTGTGTACATAAAGATTTCTGCCCCAAAACTCTGTCCTTCTGCAATACATATGCTGTGGTAGATGGTGCTGTGCTATAATTTTCCGAGTTGGAGATGTGTCTATCCCTTGCACGGCCTGCCCTATTTCCCTGGGGATCCGTACAACAGCTTTGGCGCCATCTGCCCTATGAAGGAAAAGAAAACAGTGCCCCCTAAAGGTTGGCTTGACCGTTTGCATTTGAAAACGCAAACCCTTAGAAAAAGCACTGCTTTTTCTAATTACCCCGTTCGTTGAACCCATGACCTCTTTATTCTTTAACTTTGCAGAAACAAAAGTCTTCCTTAAAAAAGCAATTAACATGTTTCCCCTTATTCACCTTACATGAAAAATGTATCCAAGGAAAATTCGAAATGTAGATAAGCAAGAAGAAAAATTCTTGAATCACAGCAATCTCAACTGCTCTCAGTCTTTAATTTATAGGTATTACTTATTTTGCTGAAAAATTAAAAAATGGTGGGCATGCTGTTTAATAACTGTTTTGCTTGAATATTAAAACACAAATATGTTTCAATGTCTATCAATATATTCTGCAATAATATTAATTACAATGATTGCATGGGATTTTGGCATGTGTGTGTGTCATATTATTTTCTTGTGTGTGTGTTAGGGATTTTCGGTATGGATGATAAAGATCATCTTATTCTTCAGATCTTGGCACATGGAACTTGGCTGAATTCACTTACTTCAACCTGATATTTTCTTCCAACCCGCTGCACCACCTAAGCAATTATGTATGTTAGTGGTATCTCTTTTGGGTTGTCTTCTTGAAATATATAATTAAAAGGCATAGGTACAAAATAACTACATATATAATTTATGTACATGTAATTTAAAACTTTTTATGTAATCATATTAATAAATCCTTTGGGTTCTGCCCTATGAAGCTCTGTATGTTAAACTAAGTTAAACGTGGCCTGCAGCTGTCTCTTACCTAAATGAACTGCAACCTAACTTAGTATATAAACAAATTTTAGCCTTACTTCAGTGTATATTCATGTAACAGCTGAGTTCCAGCCAATCACAGCAGCAACCAATCACAGGTAGCCAAATGGTTAGACAATGTTCATATAAGGCAAATGCCTCAACATACCACACCCTAATAAGGAAAATACAAAGCTGTAACAAATCAGGATTTTTCTGTATGTCATTTCCTTTTTCTATTTATAAATCCTGCTGTCCACGTTGCTGGGTGTAGCTCTCTAAACCTCCACTGCTTCAGAATGTGCCCAATTCACAAATCCTTCTTTACTCAAGTTCTGCTAAATTTAAATAGCTGAAAGATTCTTTCTAAATGGCCTAAAGATCTAAACAATGTTTAAGATTCAACTATGGCTCTTTTTAGTCCATCGCTTCTAACTACATTATAATACCCAGTATTGGGCATTTTCCCCATTTTACCTACATTTTTCTTAGTGATGACCTCTCAAACTGCTATGAACTTTCTCCCCTATAACTAATGTTTCAATAAAATTTTTTGCAGACATGTGAAATGTTTCTTTCCCATACAACTCCAGACCGGAATTTGTGGGCCACAAATTTAACTCCTTGTTGCCAGGTAGTCATGGAAGGGCTATACCAGTCTGCAGCCCTATAAGCAGGCCTCATGGTTTCTATAACCCCACATCCTACCTACACTATTAGCCAGCTGGCTCTTTTTTATCAGTATAATAAAGTTTATCTCATTTTACCATGTATTTCTCTGATCATTGACATGTTTATATTATTGTTTTCCATCTAAGAGCATGAAATATCTCCTATATGTTCTGAGAATCCCCTAATTTACTTATTCACTTATTTATTTCTGTATAATTAGGTTGTTTCTAAGGAAGACAGGGAAAAGGGGAGGCCCAAGCTATTTAAAAAGTCCAAGAACCAACATGAAAAACAGATGGATGGCGTCGCAGTGGCCATTTGTCCTCTGCTTACCTTTGCAGCGCTGCATTTTGGGTTTTTTCTTAAATTCTTTTATTGGTACATTTTAGGTATACCATACATTTACATTTATCTTTGGGTGCTTGTACCTGTACATGTTGTATCTTGGTTATTTTCCCCCATTACCTGTGTGCCCTTCACCCCTAAACCCTTCCCTATTTACATACTTCGTTTCTATTTTTTTTTCTTTTCTCATAATTTTTCTTTTCCATTCTTTCCTTTCCCCTTCCCCTCCCACCACCCCTACCCATTTGGACCTTTTCCAGTTTCAAAGTATCATTTATTAGTTATTAATCCTTTTAATCCTTATTTACACTGTTCAGTTTCTCACACTAGAGAAACTATTCGGTATTTACACGTGTGTCTTATTTATTTCACTTAAGAATATGGCCTCAATATGCATCCATTTAGCTATAATGTCTCTAGTTTCTGGTTCTTTATGGCTGAGTAGTACTCCATTTTATAAAAAAACCCACATCTTCTTTATCCAGTTTCCAGTTGATGGGCACTTGGGCTGCTTCCAAGCTTTAGCTATTACACAGCACTGGATTTTGAACAGTCAAGGGCTCACAGGACATTAACCCAACGTGAAGAGAGTGGGAGAGGTATTTAGTGAGGTCACTCCTTAAACTTTCATGAGCAATAAGTTTTTTTGTTTTTTTTTTTGTACCGGGGATCGAACTCCTCGGGACCTTGCGCTTGCAAGGCAGGCGCCGGAACCACTGAGCTAAATCCCCGGCCCTATGAGCAATAAGTTTTTAAATACAAACCATAGATTCTTTCCTCTTTAAGTCCCATAATATCCACTAAATAACTTCAAAATGTAAGTCGCTAGCATGTGGTGCATGCAATCATGGCATAGGGCAGGGCAAAGTGGTTCCTGGAGCAGAGTCCTGCAGCCTGGCAGCCATGGTAGGAGACCACCTGCTCAGGGTATTTTATCCCTGAATTTGAGGGCTCCTTAGAAATCTTGCCCCACTTTTGTTAAGATGTTTCTTCTATGGGGTATAGAGAAGATACTTAGCTCACTTGATTTGTGGAACTCCTCATTCTTCTGCTACTGGTTGATAAAATTAAGATTAGGGAAGAATTCTACATAAGATGAGTTGGGTGAGACACCAGAGCCAGCCTCAGTCTACCAGAATTCCAGTGTCTAGGGGTGGGGCCCAGGCATCTGTTTTGTAAAGAATTCTACAGATTATTGTGGTGTTCAGCTGAGCTTGGGACCCACACTGAGCTATTCCATTCCTCCATCGTCTTCAGACAAGCTCCTGCTATGTTAGACTTTGAAACTTTTTTGTAAATTGGTGTACAGGCATCCATTTTGCTTTTTTTCTTTATACCTATATTACATATTATGTCTCATGTGAATGCCCTCGTTCATAATAAAAAGTCAAGCAAACAATGAGTATGTTCATAGCAAAATGTCAGGAAGGTATACAATGAACAAGCAAAGATTGAAGTTAAGTAATTTACTAAGAAAGAAAACTAGGAGACTCAATGTATCAGACAATTGACCCCCAGGTCTGCCTTGCTTGGAACTAACCACATCCACTCTTGCTGCAATTCAAGTTAAGTATCTCTTCAGTATTCAGAGCAGATAGAAACACTGTCAATTTTTGCTCTTATATCCTAGTATGAGAATACATTAAAAAGCCAGTTATTCCATAATCAATACTCATCCAAGAGTTGGACAAGTAAGAATAATACAAGTTTTCTGTGTTGGCATTTTTCAGGTAATGCCTGTGTTTGGGACTGAGCTGTACTCAATAGCAATGGTGGCTGATAGGGGAAGGTATAATTCTTTCCCAGATTGTAGGACTTGCAGTTCATGCAGAAAGTCCTCTATGATGGAGGCCCGTCAGCTTTTATGGACTTCAAAGCTATTTTCTTCAGTACACTTTGAAATGCAGGGTCAGCTCACTGAGCTACATCATGCAATAACACATTTTTATAGGAGTAGCTTGTCAGAGCAGCAACAACATGCAATACATAAAACCAATAAACGCACCATGTCTACAGATTCTATCCTAGTAACCAGATAAAGCAATAAAATCGACAGCAGCCATCAAAAAGCTCACTTTCTAACTTTGTGGGGGTGAATTTACTGTTGCTTAAAACAGAGGAGCTGTCACAAAGCCTTAGATCAGCATGCAGTTATGGAGCAGCAAGTTGCTTCACTGGAAAGGGAGTATGCCTAATAAATGAAAGCAAGATGAGCAGTTATGTCTTGCTAAGGCTTAGGCCCTTATTGTCTTTAGTGTAAAGCAATCTGCATCAGGATTTTCTGCAGAATGTTTTTGAGTTTCCAAGTAACACATTAAACATTATTAAGGACAGTGTGGCTACAGGGTGGTAGGTTAGCAATTAGTATTTCCCATTTCCAGTTTAAAAACAGAATACAGAGGGAGCAAAATGGGTTAGTTTTGGTTAAGACTGGATTCTTAGAGTGTGGATCTTCTGTGTTCTGAAATGAGAGTAGAAGAAATAAACTTGCCATTAAGAGTAAGAAAGGATTTAAATGGAGTCAATCAGGCTGAGAAACAGAGCCAACCTCTGTCCAACAGACTCTCAGTTTCTTGGTTTAAGGCCTAAGAATGCACTTTTTGCAAATTCTCCTGAAAATTCTGATAAGAAACATGTGGGAGGTCCGGGGACACTGGCAATGTGGATTGAAGCTAAGATTAAGTGGATATGGGCACAGGGGCAAAAAGAGGTTCTGATAAAGGCTCAGGAGTCACTGGCCAGGCAAAATGCCAGCAACTAACCATTAAAGATGTATTGAGTCCTTACTTTGTCCGGGTATGTTCTAGGACACCATTGGGCAAAGACCTGTTTGTGAAGCTTAAATTTAGGAGAGACAGGAGAAGACAAATTGAAAGAAAGGAGGAAAATAATCCTATACACTGATAAGCACATTAAAACAGTGAAGGTGCTGGAGTGCACTGGGTGTGGCATAAATTGATTTGGATTGCCTAGGTGAGGGAAGAGCTCCCCCTAGAGGAGGAAACGCGGGCGACAGAATCTCCTTTGGAGACTGCAGAACCTTCCAGACAAGCAGAGAGCAAGTGCAAAGGCCTGAAATCCTGAACAGGGAAGAGGCTCACCACAGCTGGTGCTCAGCCTGTATTGATTTTCCTGAGAGAGAAAAAGAGACAAAGAGGAGATTGATTGTAACATTTCCACTGTTATAATGTCCCCCTCCCCCCTATTATGTTCCCACCTAGGGCTAATAAATTCTGACTGGGTATTACATTTGAGCAATTTTTACTTTGATATCCAATCAGAATTTCAGATGTATAAATTAACATCTCTAACCTAAAATTAGTGGTAGCACTTAATCAAAGCCTTTACAATCATCCCTTGGTTTCCATAAGAGAGTTGATTCCAGGACCCTCTATGAATAACAAAATCTTCAGATGTGCAAGTCCCTTATACAAAATGGCATATTTACATGTAGTCTACACATCTTCCTGTATACTTTAAATTATTCCCAGATTATTTATAATACCCAAGATAATGCAAATGCTCTGTATTGTTTAGGGAATAATGATGTGAAAAAACTCCATATTTATTCAGTACATATAGATTTTTTTCCAAATATTGTCCATCCACAGGTGCTTGAATCCACGGATGCATAGGGGGAGGTTGACTGTCCACACAGCAACCAAATACAGGAGCTCCCAGCAAGCTTGCTTAGTAATCCAGACTTGAGAAGATCAAGTCCTGCAGAAGTAGAGCTCTTTGGGCCTTGAGAAGGTCTACATCATGACATTACCAGCTTCCCTGTCCTCTTTGTCCATTTTCATTCAATGACACTGTCCTCAGTCTATCACTGGCACAGCCTTTGCTGACAACTTCAGCTTCAACAAAAACCACTTTTCAGGAAGCTGGCATTCTTGTGTTCCTAACAGTGGCTCTGAAGGGATGGCTTCTTCCACTGGTTTCCATTGTGAATGTGCTCTCTTGAACGGCCTCCAAGTTAAATAGGCTTTCGAGGGCCAGCCTAGGAACCAAACTACCATTTATCTCATGGTTCCTGTGGGAAAGCAACTTGTAAGGACCAGATACCCAGTGAAAGAAGTATTTTGGACCACATCCCCCCTGTAAATTGGCCCTGCAACATAAAAGCCAGAATACCTAATGGGCAGCTGGGAGTCTCCTGGGTTGTGAAGTGCATGAGGCCAGTAAAATTCTAAACCTTGGGGATACTGAGGGGGTCTTTTGTAGTTATTTGCATGATAGGGGCATTATAAAAGCCTTAGAAAACCAAGGATTAAAGAGGTTAACAGAGTCTATTTGACAGCAGTATTCATTTCTCAGTTTTTTCTTTTAAATTCATTGTATTGTCCTCTTTCCATTTAAAATAAGCCTGGAGACTGTCCTGTACTGCTTTTCCCAAATGGACACATTGGTGAGAACTGAGACTCAAGCACAATATGGAAACTGGGGGGGCGGCAATATCGCCAAGATGAGAGACCTAGAGATCTCCTTTCGAGGACAGGGTGGGAAGTGCTGGAAGGGATGTTAGCGAGAGGAGGGCAGGTGGCCTCATGATGAGTAATTCCTCCCTCATCTTCCACGCACCTTCCACACAAGGAAATGGCTCTATGCCTCTCACAATAGCGTCTGAGTTTTGGCCTGAGTCAGTTTACCTGCCATGGAAGGTTTTCAGGGGTAAGAAGCTCAGAAAAGCACAATCAATCCCAGTCCAGCACCAGGAACTAAATGAGAAGTATGATCACCAACAGATGAAGTTTCTCTACAAAATGTGTTTTTTTAAACACATTTATTTGTCTTCTCTGGAAGCCTTTGGCACTAAAGGTGTTGATATTTCCACCTGAGAAAGAATTTAATTACATAGATGAGAAGAGCAGCCAACAAGAACAAAAATACTGTCAGAAAGAAGGTGCCCACAGCTGTAATCCCACAGGACAGTGTGACATCAGATAGCTGAACTCCCTGTAGTGGTGGGGGATTTGCACACCTGAGCTCCTTGAAGTCCTCCAGTTTCTGCACATTTTCTTTGTACCACGTTAAAAAGTGAATATTTGAGCAAGTACAATCCAGGGGGTTGTGACTTAAATTAATGATGTTCTGCTGGGACAAGATAGGGAGGAGATGGGGTGGAATAATGCAAATGCTATTGCTGGCCAGACTGAGGTAGGTGCCCTTAAGCTGGCTGAGGGCATTGATGCTACTGGATGTCAGGTTGTTGTGGCTTAAGTCTACATGAATCATATTTCCAAGGCCGTGGAAGGCTTCTTGATCTATGAAAGAGAGATCACAGGAGGATAAAACCAGAATCTCTAAACTTCCCACCATCTGAAATAGGTTGGTCTTTGGGATATTCCCATCTTGAAAGCGATTCCCCTGTAAATTCAGATGCCTGAGATTTGGCAGGCCTGCTAGAAGATACTGATTGCTGGTATCAAGGAAACAGTGAGAGAGATTCAGAACCTGTAGGAGATGAAGGTTTTGGAAAGGACTTTGTGGAAAATTAATATGTAACTGAGTAAATGCCAAGTCCAGGAGTTTCAGCTGAGGACATGCTTTGAACGCTTCATTCCTGAGACCCAGGGCCTCATTGTAGCTCAGGTTTAGGCTTTGCAAGTGGGACAGATTTTTGAGTTGCAGATTGCAGCAATCAGAAGCCTCAATATCATTATGGCTTAAATCAAGTTTCTGTAGATTTTCTAATTTTTCTAAACAACCAGCACCGAGTTGGAGTTTCTTTATGTTGCCTTTGATGTAGAGGTGTGTAAGGGAGGGAAAACTATCAGCATTGATTTGACATAATTGCTCAAACTTATTTACATTGAGAACTAATTTCTTCAGTGAGTTCATACCTTTAATCCCAGGTGGTAATTCTTTTAAGTGGTTACCTGTCAGGTCCAGTTCCTGGAGATGGGTGAAACACTGAAATGTAGCCGAAGAGAGACTAGAGAAAGAATGTTTCTGCAGGTTCATGCTCTCAACAGATATTTCACAAAGCCCCTCAAACATGCTCGAACTCAGATCTTGGTCTTCAGTATCCTCAAATGTCCCCAGCCAAAGAGACTGAATAGTAGAATTATGCAGACCACTGAAAATAACAGACAAGTTAACAGTCCCTCCAAAGTTCAAACTTTGGAAGACCATTGACTGGAAAGCCCCAGGCTCAATGCCTTCAATGTCATTGCCATTGAAATTAAGGCTTAGTTTGGTAGCTGGTTTCAGAGAATCCATGTCTTCTCTAGAAAGGTAGTGTATGACATTATTCTGAAAATCCAAGACTTTTAGATTCCCTGTTGGGAAGTCTTTGGGGAACTTAATTGAGGAAATATGGTTGCTTCCAAGATGCAAACTTTCCAAGTTTTTCAGATTGTGTGCTGGGATAAACTCAAGGCTAAATATTCCAGTTTGGATTAAGAACAAGTGCTTCAGTGACTTGGGCCCATTAAGTGCTGTTTCTGCCACAAATATCAGGGGGTTTCCAGTTAACACAAGTGTGCTCAACTGAGGATGGCTTTGAAAAGCATTTTCATGTATCCAGTTAATTTGGCACCTGGAAAGATAATAGTATGTAATGATCATTCATTAGAAAAAAAAGAAAAATTACCTCTGTAACAGTAATGTGTATTAACAAAATCAATTTTGTATATAGTAAAATAGAATATATTATTATTCAAAATCAATCATAAAAAGATTTCTTGAATTAATTAAAAATAGCCTCAGTTCTGAAGATTTTTGATTTAGAATTTATTCCAAGGATCTTGCCCCTTTGGACTGAACATTCAGACATTTGTGTTGTGCTGTAAGGAACAATTAATGGCAGGCAAAAATCAAACTATGATTGCTATTTTAAGCAATAAGTAAAAATGTCATATATGATGTCTGACAGTATATGATATGTAATATATAAATGTGTAAACCTGTGCTCTCTTCGGAAAGTTACAACCTTCATTCAGCTTTTTTGGATGAGTGGTTGTGCTGGAGATTGAATCCAGGGAATTGTGTATGCTAAGAACACACTCAACCACTGAAGCTCAGCCCTTTTTCATGTATGTGTTAAAGTGATGGCTTTGTTGTAGAACAATTGTGTGTCAAATAAGCTAAAAATATGGATTACACACATATCCCACACTGGTGCTTTCCTTATGTAACCATAAGAGGTGGTACCATTCACCATGGGTGCCTCACAATGGTGTTATAAACATGAAACATTACCATGGATGTGTGTGTTCTCCCAACTTGAAGAAGCTTAAGTAGAAGGATGGAGAAAGAGGACACCAGACATCATGGATATGCAAGGCCCCTTACCTCTTCCAGTCTCCAACACACAATAAGCTGCATGACTCTTGTTTTCTTTACTTTTCTCTAGTATTTCTGCCTATTAGGTCTCAAGTACTAGTTCAGCATTTGGAATCCTGATTCTGCTACTAAAACCAAATAATGGAAATCCTTTTCCAATTTGTAAAAAGAAACAAAAAATTAGTAGGTGCATTTCTCCTGGAACTTTTTTCCTAAGAGTCATGTCCTGATAATGGCCCACTATGCCAAAATGTGGTATAATATGGCATTTGATTTAGGATAACCTTTATTTTTACTTTTCTAATTGATACTCCTTAGAACTTCTTAAACAGCATTGCTATCCCAGCTAGTTTGAAAACAATCAACTTTCCTTTCCATTGACTGGTGTTTATTTAAGTCACATTTCACTAGCACAAACTATTTCATGGGAAAGGGTAAATGAACATGTAGAACAAGCAGATTGTCCCTGCATCCAAAAGATCCAGGAATCAATTTATATCCAACATGTGTGTGTGTGTGTGTGTGTGTATGTGTGTGTGTAACTTAGGTGAAAAATCCAGAGCCCACAAGGAACTCACATACATACCTGGTTAAATCCAAAAAGATAAGGTTGATGAGCCCACTGAAGGTTGTATTTTGAATTGTAGGCAAGAAATTAAAGCTGAATTCCAAAAATTCTGTTGTGTTTGGTAGAGTGTCAGGAATTTCACTGAGACCTAAATTTTCACAGTTATATATTCTGTTGGCTTCTTTCTGATGAGAGAAACAATATAAATTAATATTGGATTCAGTAGCTGATTGACTAGCAATATCAGATACGTTTTACCCTTGGAGCGGCAATTCCACTCCTAGTAATTTACACTTGTAAAAACACAAAATGACTTTGCACAATCTTACTCTGTATAGTATTTTTTTGTAATAGAAAAAGATTGACAATCACCATCGATATCTGAGGCTAGTTGACCAAAATGTAGTACATTCACAAAATGGAACCCTAAGAAACTGCAAAAGGAATGAGGAAGGTCTGCATACACTGATATGGAGTGATACTTGGGACATACTGTAAGGTGAAAACGGCAAAGTACACCACAGTATATAGAGTGTGTACAGTACATTGTGTGCTACTTATTGGTACACTTGTATTTTCTTTTTTCCCTTTTTTATTATAATATATTTACTATGCATAAAAATGCTTTCATAGTGGGGAATTAGTACATATACATATTGCACTGGATCATTTTTACTTCCCCCTCCCCTCCCTTCCCTCCTTCTCCTCCTATCCTTCCCCATTTAGCATAACTACTATCTCCCTTTTCCTATCATCTAAATGAGACCAAGGTAAAAACAAAACAAACAAAAAAAACAATGACCTTTATAGTGAGAGAAGAGACAAGATATAAGAACCAGGATGGGAATAAAACTTCTCTGAATATACTTTGGTTTATGGTTTTCCTTCTGGATGCATGGAAATGCTTTATTTCCCTTAGGAAAGCAGCAAATAAATAACCCTAGATCAGTATTACCAAAATAAGACAATCAGACACGTACTTTTTGACGTGGTTAAAAAATTAAACCGGAATCCAATCAAGACTGTCAGCCTAACTTCATGTTTACATGTGATGTAGCAGTTTTAAGTTAAACACCATCACAAGGCATAACGTAGCAGCCAGCCAAATGCAGAAAGTGGGTTATTGTATAAGACAAATGACTTTTACCAGTTTGAGGGGCAGCCTTTGTTAAAAGAGACAAAGATTTAAAAGCTATTTAAGAGACAACCAACGGATAACAGATCAGCCCTTGCTATTTTGATTCAAATAAAGCAGTTAGGAAAAGGTATCTTAAGGACAATCAGAGAACATTGAGAACAGGATTCAAAGATATTAAGAAATTATGATGTAGTCTCAGCACTGGTAGGAGGATCACAATTTCAAACCTGACCTGGCAGGTTAGTGATTTAGCAAGATCTTGTCTCAAAAGAAAAAAAATATATAAAAAGGGCTGGGGAAGTAGCTCAAGGTGAAGGCTCTGGGTGCAATCCCCAGTACTGCAGTGGGGGGTGGGGGGGTGGAGAAAGAAAAAGGAGGAGAAATTTTGAATTTTGTAATGTTAGTGGCCTTGCAGTTTTCTAAAAGAGATGTTCTTATTGTTTTGAGATGTATATTAAAGTATATAGAGGTAAAATGACATCAGTTTTGGATTTTCTTTAAAGTACTCTGGCAGAAAAGGAGGGGAAGGATAGATGGAGTTAGTAGGCAAAAGGCTGATGGTTGTTGAATATTCAGTAATGCATACATAGAGGATCTCTTTAACTATTTTGCATATGTTTACAAATTTTCTTAACACAATTTAAAAAACTAACACGTGGCACAGACCTTGGTCTTACAATCTTAATGTATTAATTTCAGATCCCTGGATGTATAGGCTGTGGCGATCAGATGCTAGGCCTTTGGCCACAGCCCCATACAGATGAATTGCTCATCCAGTGACCAATGTAGCCAAGGATTCAGGTCTGACAATTATTGCTTGGTAGTATTGTAGCAAACATAACTCACGGTGTTGTAGCTCTAAGCGGTATAATAGTCAGGCTGAGAAGTCACCCTGGAAGTTGGAAGCAGGTTTATTTCCACTAGCAGACTGATGGGGACTTTTCTGCAAAGCGATCAGTCCTGTCTGGGTGATGAACAGGGTTTATATGGATTTGGGAAAAGAGGGGTGAGGGAGGATATAGTGGCAAGATCCTTAACATTAGTTCATTGGTTAAGGTAGATACAGTCAGCTTATACAATTGGGTAGAAAGATACGCTAGGATTTGACAGATCCCCCAAGCCGGACCCCGCCTAAGTAGACCTGCTACCCTCACCCACAGGAGCACAGAGATGACAAGAAGCCTTGCTGCTCTCACCACCACCCTGTATATCAGCCAGCCCTAGGCTGATCAACTATGGGACTCTAAAATTTTAGAGCAGTGCCCTTCCCCCCCATGCCCTATATCAACCATGAGCACACTTTTCTCACTGCCAGCGGCCTTCTCACCCTTGGCGCAGCTGCACCCAGATGGCAATAAACTCATCGCGTGTTGCTTAGACTTTGCCTGCCTCAGTAGTCTCAATCGTGCCTCAGTCTGACCTTACAGGATTCACCTTATTTACATATGGCAGGAAGAAGGGGTTATAGAAGATCTGAGAACAAAGGACAATGGAGGAAAACATGTCCGGGCAAGTCTGAGTGTGATCTGGACGTTTTAGGTGCTGGAAGGGTCAGAGTTAGGAGGAGCCTTTTGTTGCTACCCAGTTAGCTGTAGCACAGGCTTATTCTGGTCAGAAATCGATTCCCTGTTCAGTAGTATTGCAGGTAGCTAAGACAGTCAGAAATTATTATAAGGCAGTTAGACAAAGATGAGCCCTCAGCATAGAAAAACAATTGAGACACATTCACTGGGCGGCATTATAAAAAGGGAGAAACTATTACCCCCACATACTTCCCCTAGGGATAAAGAGCAGTGATTGCTATTCTAAACAGGCATCAATCACCTGGGTGGGGAACTAAGACCTTAACCCATCCCTTCCAGGAAAGGTCCCTAACCCATCCCTTTCTGAAAATCCGTGTACACTTGCTTCCCCATTTGAGCCCCATTTAATCAATATTACCTAAGTGACTATACTTGTTGTAATCCTTATTGGTTAATCAAGTTTTGTCCCTCATACCCACCTTGTAATTTCCAATTGGATCAGTATTACCTAAGCGACTGTACTTGTCATCTTACTAGTTGATTGTAGTTTTGTCCCACCTTGAACCCAATCCCACCTCGTGGTTTTACATCATAAAATCCCCCTGGGAAACAGGGTCTCCTGGGCAACCCACTTTTCAGTCCCTCTTTGTTCTCTCTTAGATAGACGCTATCTTTCTCTCAATAAATTTTTCAGACTCAACCTGCCTTGTTCCTAGAATTCTTCAATTTTAGAGAACCTGAACTTGCGTTTTGGATATCTAGCATGTTTTAGGAGTTACATCTATTCCCCCTATGTCAGTAGGTGCCCTAACCCAAGTCATAGATTTTGGATTAACTAGGTAAAAATGGAAAGTGGTTGGTAGAAGCCTAAAGAACACTAAGGTCATATTTATCTGGATAAAGGGAAGGGACAATGGAGTATCTTGCCTGGACAGGCTTCTCGGAAAGAAATGATCTCCAGGGTGGAGGTACAAAAACTTGGGGACCCAGGACCAAGGGCCAGCTATCAGTTCATCTCAGGCCCCAGATGAGTTCATCCAAACTTCCAATGCTGCTTTTCCCTGATCACTTTTTGGATGGCCTCACTGGAACCCCTCTGAAATTGCCCTGCCTGACAAACTCCTTCCCACCAAACCCATATCAGCTTTCCTTGTGCTAAGTTGCAAACAGACCTACTTAGCTGGAAGCAGAACTGCACTCAACCTCTTTCACTCTGAAGCAGGAGGCTGCAGAGATGTTGCCATTGTCATCAGGTTTTTTTGGTCTTACTCTAATTTCTGCTTAGCAGTGTACTTTTCTATAGCTTCAGCAAGATGCTTATCTACAGGATATCAGGGGTTTTCAGTATTGTGACAATATTATAACTGTCACTGATAAAATGTCATATTTATATTTACTTGTAATTTATTCTTCACTTTTATAGACACAGAGTCCTCTAGGCACTGCCACAAATCCACATAATGTCCTTGAAATGCACACTTGGCTTTTAAAACTTAGGTTTAGCTAACTAGTGGGACATGCTGCCAGGCCTGTCCCTGATGCCCCTGAACTTGGACCACCCAGAGAGAATGTGCATGCTGAGCTGCTGCCCCCACATTTGCTAAGATGCCAATTTGCTTAGAGGAGACAGTTTTCTTTTCCTGGTCTCCATTGACGTAGCTGATTTCACACACACTTGGAGAAAGAGGACTTCCCTCAATTTGTCTTGCTCTATTTTGGCCCTACAGCAAAAGACTGGATGCTGGCAATTCCATCCTCCTTCTGAAAATAAAAATCCCCGTGATACCTAAATCATTCCATGTCTCAGCCTCTTGTGTGCTTAAGTAAGCACATTAACTGAACTAAAGTAATTCTGAAAGTTGAGAATCCAGGAGGAGCTCTTCTGAGCTTGTGGCCTGAGGGAGCTTCTTGAAAAAGGAAATGCAGGTAAATGAATAGGTCAGTTTCAACCTAGCAATAACTGAAGACTAGCGGTTGACTCTACCAAGGAGTGTTCTCAAGAAGCCCACTAGAGCCTGGGCACATTAAATAATCTCAAATTGGGTGGAAATGTTAATGAAAACTCTGGCCTGGGTACCTAGGAGAAAGAGGCAATGACAAAAATGTAGTTCAGTGGGCTGGGGATTTAGCTCAGAGACACCACACCTGCCTGGCAAGTGCAAGGTCCTGAGTTTGATTCTCGGCACCAAAAAAAGAAAAGAAAAGAAAAATAGTTGAGAGAATTAAAAAACCCAATGCATTTTCCAGAATGTCTTTGTTCATTGCACACATAGCCCTTCCCTTGCAGCTTTGACAATCATTATTGTACAATCAAAATTGCCATGGTGATGGGGACATCAAAGCAAGATGCATTCTGGAATCATCTAAGAACCATTTGTTTGTTTTTATGTTTTGTTTTTTTTTGGTACCAGGGATCGAACTCGGGACCTTGTGCATTCGAGGCAGGAGGCAGAACCACTGAGCTAAATCCCTGGCCCTGTTATGTATTTTTTTTTAAGGCTGGAACTATACATAAGCACATGGTTATTCTCATTCTTTTTGGTGGAGAGTAAATTGTAGACCTCATGAGTGCTCTCCCCTAAATACCTCTCAGTTTATATCTGCTAAATGCAATGATAGACAATCACAGTGCCATTGTCAAATTCCCAGTATTTAACCTTGATTTGATGTCATCCAATGTAGGGTCTATATTCAGGTTTTCCAATTGTTCCAATATTGTCCTTTACAGTAATTTTTGTTTTTCCCATGAGGATCACCTGTTGCATTTAGTTGTCTTATCTTATTAGACTCTTTAATCTGAGACAATTCCTCAGCATTTCAAGACATTGATATCTTTTGAAGAATATAATCTTGTAATTAGCAGAATGTTTCTCATTTGGGGGTTGCATGTTTTCTCATATTTGATCCAGATTATATATTTTTTATTTGTAGTACTGAGGATCGCCTTGTGCATGGTAAGCAAGTGCTCTACCATTGAGCTACATCCCCAGCCACAGGTTACAGGTTTCTGTTAGAAATACTATGCTGGTAAGGTTTTTTTTTTTTTTGGTACAGGGAATCAAGCTCAGGACCTTGCACTTGCAAGCCAGGCGCGGTGTCACTGAGCTAAATCCCTGGCCCAACAGGTAAGGTTGTACCTTTCTCCCTCTCAAGAATCAGAGTGAGTTCTGATGGCAGAGCACAGGGCTGCAGAAAAGCAGAGAGATAATGTTGTAGAGAATAAAAGAACAAGAGGCAGAAAGGAACAGATAGTGTGGCTACTGCCCGGACCACAAGCTTCGGTTTCTCTGCAGGCAGAAATCCACCATGTTGCAGTTTCCCTGGGCGCCACACAAACACTTTCTCTGACCCCAGCCTTGTCTTTCTGGAGTTGATATATGGTCAATTTTCAAAGATGATTTTGCATGCCTCTGCTTCAGCCGGTGTACTGCAGACAGGACTACTCTTGACGTGAACTCCTGCAGCCAGAAGAGTTGCGGTGAGGCCATGTGGTAGTCATGACAACCCACCCCAAGCAAGGGGCATTTGCCTAGGACCCCCTGTGCACTGGCTCCTGGGCAGCCACTGTGTCTCCAGTTGGGGTTGGAGCTAGGCCTTTTCCCCAGAGCAGGGCTCCCGAGTGCTACATCTTTATTTGCAGTCCCTTTTCCCTCCAGGTACTCATTTGCATTTTTTCAATCAAGATCTTATTTTCTTCTTCTTGCTGTGTGTCTAACTCCCTCCCATCCCACTGTATTTTCCCTCCATGCAAGTGTTGAAACACTTTCTAATTTGGAAACCTTTGAATTTTACTCCAACTGCTTACCCACCTTTACAGATGTCTCATCAGCGCTTGACACACGCTTGCCCAAAGGAGGAGTCTGGGACAATGGACACCAGCTGTCCTTCTTAGATCATACCTCATCTAGAAGATAGCAATTTGACTAGCAAGCTGAATCTCACAGCAAGGATTGCTCTTTGAAAGCAAAATAAACACTCCAAGAAGGCACATCCTTAAAACATTGTCATCAATCTGACTCCTCCAGGCCAAAGGCATTTTATTTTCTGTTTTTCAAGTCAGCCTGTTTGGGTTCAAGTCCCAGTTCTTAAAACTGAGCTATGTTCTCTGAGCCTCCTTTTTACTCAACTTTAAACTGGAGTTAAAAACTTACTCTGAAGGCCTACTGTGAGAATTAATGAAATAGTGTATCTATACTACCTAAGAGGAGTTAGTACATAATGGGATCATCACAATGTCACATCGTCATCTAAAGCTATTGGGGAGCCCTTGCATGCCTGAACTTGGAGTTCTCAAAAAAGCTCTGCTAAGCACATCCACCCCATACCTAGGGACTGAAGAACTTTCTCCTACCATAGTTTACAGGGACAAGGTGGCTAGGATGAGCCGATTTGAAATGGAAGGTTTCTCACACTCCCAAGAAACTATTCAAGAGTTCATCTAAAATGTTCCGACAATCCAAAGCATAGAGTACTGGTTTCTGCTGCTCTTGGGATATTTGCCAGTCTCTGAAGACTTGGTCATGGCTCTGTGATTTTATTGCTTATCTCACACATATACACATACACACAGAACATGTAGCATTTAGCAGTGGGAGAATCCACAGGGAGTATTTGAGTGTTCATTGTAATATCTTACAACTTACGGATAAATCCTAATGTTTTTAAACAAAATTTTTAATAAAAAATTAATTTTGACTCCTACTTAACACATATGTAAAAAATTCCCAATAGATTATAGATCTAAATGGAAACATAAATAAATATGAAACAACAAAGTTTCTAGATGAAATCATGGGATAATATTATAATAGTGTTGGGGTAGACAAAGACTTCTTAAATAGGGCTGAAATGCACAGAAAGTAAAGGAAAAATGATACATTGCACTGTTAGAGAATTAAGAACTTCTGTTTAGCAATAACAAAAAAAAGCCTTTGGGGGAGTGAAAATATAAGCTACAGAGTAGGGGAAAATATTTTCAATCTGATAAGGGACTTTTATCCCTAATAAATAAAGAACTACTACAAATTAAGGCAATCAAAACAGAAAATGGGCAGGAGACTTGAACAGGAACTTCACAGACATAAAAATGGGAATGTAGAGCTGGGGCTATGGCTCAATGGCATAGTGGTTGCCTAGCATGCTATAAGTCCTGGATTTAATACCTGTCACCACACACACACACAAAGGTATGTGTGTAAAAGACAGACAAAAGTATGCATATAAACTAAATTTATTATTCATCAGGAAAATAAAAATTCTACTACTTACCAATCAGAAAGGCTAACATTTAAAAAGAACCAATAATAAATGTTGATGAGGCTGTGGAACAATCAGAACTCACATATATTTCTGATGAGTATAAACTGGTATTAACACTTTGGAAAACTCAATCACAGTTAAACATTTGAACATATGAATAGCCTATGACTAAATATATTCACTCTTAGGAATACATCTAATTGAAGATTTGTACATTTGTTTACTAAAGGACATAGATTAAAATGTCCAAAGCAGCATCATTCATAATAGCCAAAAGCTGCAAAAATGTAAATATCCATTTATAGTCAAATGGATAAATAAATGGTGGTTCACAATGCAAGAGTGGTATATTCAAAGATGAGTATGAACAAAGGCCTGTTACATAGATCATCAGGAAGTCTCACAAATTTAATGTTGAGCAAAGGAAGCCAGGCACAAAAAAAGTACACACTGTATGATCCCATGTGGATAAAGTCAAAAACTAGGCAAAAACAATCATGATAATAGAAGTCAGAGGATTAGATGCCTAGTGACGAAGAGGAAGCCTGAGGAAGGCTTCTGAGGTAATAGGTGTGTTCTGTGCACATTTAAAGACTGTGAAATTTCCACATGTATGTTTCACTTCAACAAAAAGTTTGCTGAGCCAGAGATTTAGCTCAGTGGTTCTGGCACCTGCCTTGCAAATGCAAGGTCCCAAGTTCGATCCCCGGTCCCCCCCCCAAAAAAAAGAATTAAAAGCCCTTGTTTTCTGGATAGACTATGTAAGGTCATGGTGGTCTGTCACATGAACATAGAGTGTGTGGCTGATTATGCTTGAACTGGAGGGAAAGAACGGAAGAGGAAAAGCAAGCAAGGGGAGGGTTGAGTACAGCGAGGGTGGCTTGAATTTGGGAAAGGGACAGACCCCTTCAATCAAAGGCACAAGGCTCTAATCCTATATGACTGGTGTTCTTATAAGAAGAGTATAGGTCATAGCCACTCACGGTGAGAATGCCACACAACGACACGAGGAGGGTGTGGCTATCTACAAGCCAGAGATGCCTCAGAAGAAATCAACCTTGCTGACAGTTTGAGCTCAGATGTCAGAACTGTAAGAGAATATATTTCTTTTGTTTAAACCTTCCAGTCCCGGTACTTTGTTGGGGAGGCCTGAAAAACTAATGTATCATTCCAGCCTTAATTTCCCCTGGGCATTCACATTTTCTTGGTCTGAAGACATCCTGATTTCTTCCAAACACCAGACTAACAAGGTTCTGCTGGTTTTCCTTCCAGGCTTTCTTCCAGTCTTGGCTGTGATTATGCCCTTGTCTAGCAAGTCTCCACTCTGCTGTAGATCATTCTGATTTCTGCCCAGCTACTATCCTAGGGTCATTCTGCACCTTGCTGGCCCTGGCTCTGATCCTTCTTTCAGTCCCAACCTAGGAAAGAAGCTCACCAAATCACCGAGACTGGTGGTCCTTCCTGTCTATGGCCCTTGCCTGGCAGGCCATGTGGTGCTGGATGCTCATCAAAGTCAGAAGCACAGTGGGAGGAAGGCTGAAGTACTTTAAAAGGTGGCAAGAGAGGCCCTTTTCCTTTTTCTTTCTCTATCTACTCAAGGATTTCCCACAGGTTGATAAGTATCATTATAGCCCAAAACAGAAGGTGTGATTTGGCTCTACTCTGATTTTACTCCTGTGGGTCAGTCAAACAGATGGACAGCTGTTCAAGTGGAGGAGAAAGTCAGGCTGATTCAAAGTGATCTGTGCTCTGAAACCTGGCATGGGCTGTCTTTACTAATTTCACCCGAGATCCAGGAAATCAAAGAACTATCTGGGGGAATGGCCTTGTGCTGAGATGGTGGATAAGCAGAGTCTCCAGGTTAGGAGGGAGGTTTGGAGGTCTGCTCCTTGCACAAGCCTCTGTTGACATAGCATGTCTCAATTGGGATGGCTTTGGGGGAATCTTTTGAGTAAGATGCTATCAGACCATTGTATGGCTGAGCTCTTTGGTTCCCTTCTCACAATAACAAAAAACTTCTCTCTAGCCTGTTGTCCTATTAAAGACAGTGGATATTGAAATGCCAAGGCTCAAAGGGATGGCATTGAGTTTCTCAGAAAGTAGAATCTGGATAAAGACAGACAGTTTGGACTCACCTCAATGCACATCTGATCGGAGGAGGTGATAACTTCACAGCTGGCTGAAAGAAGCACCACCAGAAAGCAGCAGCTGACCTCGGGAGCCATCCCAGGTCCAGTGCAATTGCACCTTAGTGAGATGATCTAATGCTTGGAGCTGAGTAATTCAATCAGGCTCTGACGGCCCCAGCAATTTGCCAGCCAGAGATGTACTCAGATGAATGATCTTGGTACAAGAAATGCACTGACTGCTCAGCATTTAGTGGCTCTGTGCTGCAAAAAAGGGAAGTTCTTTTTGCATACCAACCATCTTTGCCAAAAATAACCATGGACCCAGCCCCAGGATGGGCCAGTGCACTTCCTGGCAAACACGAATCAGTTGTACAGCCCTCTCAGAGTCTCAGTGTGGTGATACTGACTGGCTCCATGCTGGCCTCAGGGGTTTGGCCTGACCCAGCAGCTTCTAGGCCTTCTCCTGAGGCTGCAATCACATAGGAGGCCCCTTCCTTAGTTGTCCTAGGTGAATGACTGGGAGGGTGGTGGGACTTGGTGGCAGGACAGGGCCCTCTGTGGGAGCAGATGGAAGGGCTGTGGAGCTGGGAACTGGAACTAGAGGCAACCAGTGTGCCTGATCCTTGAGACTCAGCTGCTGCCTGGGTCACCTCTGCTGTTCCCGTGTCTGATCTCTGTGCAGGAAGAAGATTCTTCTTCTTTCGCCACCTGGTGATTCCAACCTGTTAAAGCAGGTTAGGTGGGATTCCCTCTTGTTCCTTCCCTTGTTTGTTTAACCCTTCAGATATAAATAAAACAACTTGCCAAGGAAGCCTGCCTCAACTCTACTTCTTCTCAGAGATATCTCTGAAGCAGGATTGTAATTACCTTCATTACAGTGCAAGATGTGGCAGTGATTAAAGAAAGTCAAAGTGGAAACATTTCCTTGTTGGGCTTAGTTTAGCTACCTCAGACCTTGTCTGTTCTGTTCTCCAACTATCTGGGATATGGGAGATACTTGGTGTTATTATTCTTCTACTCCATTTCCAAGAACCCTGTTCTTAGTTTCAGAGTTCACAGTGCCTTCAGATACTATGGGCACTGCACAGTGTTACTACCAGCCATAAGGTGATTATGGTAGTTTCCTTTGTTGAGTACTTATTAAGTACTTACTATATGTCAGACACCAGGCGAGGCTTTATTTTGTTTACTATACATTTTCCCATCCTGGAATATTTCCTTACATGCTATAAAAGAGGTACTATTAGTTCCTTCACTTTATAGTTATAGAAACAGATGTTGAGAGAAATTAAATGTCCTCCCCAAGGGCATAAGAACAGAAAGTGTGGATTAGGGTTTCAAACTTACACAGTCTCCCTGCAAAGATTGTGCTTCTTCTCTCCATGGAGGTTGACCTCTCAAAGCGGTCAAAGAACAGTTGGGGTGAAGAATACTCTTCATCTGGAGGCTCCAGAGCAGATGCTAAAAAGCAAAGGGGCTTGGAGAAGCTATGTACTTGACACTATATTAGGGCTTGTGTAAATATTTAGGCTTTTGTGGTCACCCTCAAGATATCACATCCAGAAAATTATCTCTGAAGATGCTGTTGGCAAGATATAGTCTAAGCAAATGCAGGCCAGTGACAGGGCACCTTGCTGTGAGGAAGCATTGGGATGGTGGGCAGAAGAGCTGAGGACCAGAAGGGCTCTGGTTCTAAGCCTCAGATCCACTGCTCACCAACTGAGTGGCCATTTCACTTCCCATTTCCCCATCTGAGAAGCAGAGTTGTAATCCTTGTTCTACTTACATCACAAGGTAATTATGAGGATCAAATGGGATCATATATGTGGAAATGCTTCCTAACCTTAAAGCACTACATAAATATGAAGAATGTGAAGCGGAGACTCCTCTGTGACACCAATTCCAGTGTCATGTAAATATCACTCTCAGGAAATCATCTCCTGCCCTAGAAACATTGAAAAAGCATATTACTTCCCTACTTAAAGAAAAGTTTGATGGCTCGGTTAAGGCCATAAGATTTTGTCATTTTCTGAAACCATACCATTTAAATATGATTTGCATGTGTTTGCATAATGGATTCAAAAGACTTACTGCAAGTGTATATGAGTAAAAGAAAATAAATGAATATGACTGACCTTCTGCCAGAGCATTCAAATCAAATATTCAGGGCATAATACCCTGAAATATGAAATAGATTAAAATTTAAACTATTGCAAACAGATAGGAAGATAGGTTTTAGAGCTCAGAAGTAAGAATGAAACACTTATTTGGTCCCAGGTTGTAAAGAATCACATCTTCCTAAAGGTCACCCATCCAAATTATTTTCATGCCTGAATTCTCCCCTCCACACCCCTTACCCCATTCCTCTCTGCATTGCATTATTTTCCAGTTTATTCTGAAATGCCTCAGTGACAGAAAACCTACTGTCCTCCAACAGATTGTTCTGGCCAATTTGACTGTTTAAAAGGTTTTATCTAACATCAAACTGTAAAAATGTTCCCTCCAAGGTCCCTATAATCTTCCTTGTTTCCTCCAGCCAAGAGAGTAAGTTCAAGCTTTTTCCTATCTGCCCATCATTTGGGAATTTGAAAATATTTATGTCCCTAAATTTTTCTCTTTCTAGGTTTAAAGATCTCTAGTTCCTCCAACTGTTTCATGAGTTCATGCATTACAATCCATACCAGTTTATCTGAATATTTTCATGAGAAATGTACTGATTTGAGTGTTAATCCTAGCTTTGCTATTAACTGATTGTCTTTAAAACATTCACTCTGTCTCAATTTGCTCATCTGTAAAATGATGGAGTTAGACTAATTTATTTCTAAGGTATCCCTTCATTTAAAAGTCTATTTCAAAACCATGATTTCCAACTTATTTATGTAACAGAGTTGTTGGCTTGAGCCAATAGAATGAAGTTACACTTGCTTTTGTTGACAATCTCCTCTTTCTTCCTCCAGATGGTCTTACTACTTCTTGACAAACAAAAATAGAGAGACAGGTTTAGCTGGAGCAATGGGTACCATGACTGCTGCAATCCCAGCTCACTTATAGTGGCATTAAAGGATGGAGTGGTCCTCATCCATGCTAAGAACTATTTCTTTCAGACTATGAAGAAGGAGAGGACAAGATGAAACAAGGCACTGGAAACTCATTTATACTAACTAGCTGCCACATCCATGGAGAAACAATAGATCTGTGGACTGCAGTTTTCATGAGTTCAAATATCGTTACAATAGCTATTACCATAGATTTACAAACAAATTCTCCATCACTTTTTGTTGTTCTGACTATTTTCTTTCTTTCTTTCTTGCCTCCCCCCCCC